AAAAAAAAATAACTGAGCTGCCAATAAATGTGTCTGTTTCGTTTTCGATGCGCCACCCTGTATAGTACAAAGAGAAAAAGCTGTGACAGATTCTCATAGATGATTCTACGTATTTGATTCTAAGATAATTTTTTGGACGCCGATAATATAGCATTAGGTTGGCTATCTTGAAGCGGAACACGTTAGTGAATGCTGACACTGACGCGCAGTGGTCTAAAACACCAAAATACTACAATTTTCATGGCATTCATACGATGTTCAGTACCAAAATATTTCTTGGGTCGCTGATTTCAAATATGAATATAGTTTGTCTCTATGGAGGCATTTGAAGGTCAGTTCGAGGTCATATTAGAGACATTTCCAAAAGAAGCCTAGCAATTGCTCCCAGTGCATGTCAATTAGGTTATTCTGCTCATCAAGTCCGATCAGAGGTCGTTACTCACGATAAGGACATCTGGAGTTCATTTCAAAGGCACTTCAAGGACAATTTAATAATAGGTTCAGCACTGGAGTCCAAACGTATGACATATAGGTTTTCGCCGTTGTTGAGTCCAAATCAGAGACTAGTTTGCCCCCAAAAAGATATTTTAAGGGAATTTTACGGCTTCTCAAAGGACAATTTGAAAAAGTTGAAGAACTGTTTCCATAATATGGCAGTGTGTAAGGTTGTATAACGATAGTTTGCATAAGTTAGCAAAAACTGACACTACATTTTACAGGGCAGTACTTCAACGCTCATGAACATCATTTACTTCAATTGGGGCAATGAGCGGAACCTTTATTAAAAACCTCTCTAGATAATACTAATATAAAGAAGTAACGCTAATAATAGTAATCCGTTCATTTGGCGGTGTACCTAATAGATAACAATAATGACAGATTTCTGTTACATCAAAAGAAAGTTCCTCCTTTCGTTATTTCAGATGCATATCCTGAAATATTCTTAACACACAACTTTGTTACAGAAGCTCTCCAATTTTGCTGTAAAAAAGTAGCGTCGAATGATGAAAAACTTCAAGGTCAATAGTCTGCCATTGTAAAGGTAGTGAGGCAAAGTTTCGACTCTATTGCTGACTTATTGTTGAAGTAGGTAATCATTTTCATTAATTTTGTTTTTATTAATTGTTGGCAGGTTTTCGCATAGTGTGACGGAATGGTTAGTGAATATTGATGGCTCGGACCAGAGTGAATACTGATCATGTGACATGTGCTCTAGATTTTTTAGACAAAATAGCCAAGTATTGTACCATTTGTGAACACAGAATCAGCTTGATGCTATTTATGTGACTTGAATTGAAAGACACATGACTCAGATAACATAACACTGATTAAGGGTCGTCGATAAAAAAATTGGAAATGTAACACCGTAAAATGTACTTTCATGCAATCAAAGCGTCATCATGCTGCACTTTGGTGAAATATAAGTCTTTCGAGGATCGGTGCAAAGCGATATGTCAATATAATTAAGCGCAACTCCAAAACTGTCACCCTGGTTGAAATTAGAGACAGGTTTTAATCTGCCGTCGGCCCGCAGCTAACAGTAATATAAACTTTAAATGTATGGGAGTTTACCGCTTAGCCAGGCTACAGTTGGGGACGTGAATTACACAAATTTGGGTTATGATGATAAATGAGAAGACCTTTTACATTTGCGTGTAAGCTGGCGGTAATATCAGGTGGTTTGGGTTGAAAAATTAGGGTATAAATGAGGCAAGAGGACATAAGAGGGTCTTTCAATTGTATTCTGTGGCAGTTTCTGTGATTCGAGGCGTTTTGTCTGGTAAGTAATTGAAATACCCAGAGAGCTGGTGATATTCAATCCGTAGCTCTTTTTGCGAACAAAAAATTACAGTAGAAAGCTCTTTCGGGCCATAACATCCTGGATCGCTGGCGCTTACACATGCTTTAAACATCTTTATGGAACGTTTCAATCAAGGCAAATAAATAGGGTTACTATTATGCTGGCAATCTTGAACAGAATTAATTATAATTAAGGGCAGGCGACTCGAGAAAGCAGGACTCCATTCACTGGTACGCAGCGTAAGGGCTCAGGGTCAGGACTAGTGGTGGCAGATATTCTACGAACTGTGATTTAGTAACTAATATTTCTCTCCATTCACTACCATTCCTGCAGGCAATATCGTGCCTTAAAGGCTTTGGAAGTTCGTTCCATCTGATTTCATCGCAGTATTTAGTCAGGATATCGGTATACACATAATCTCATCGTTATCCGAAAGTCGTGGTCACGTCACGGGTTTAAATTACTGATATCATAAAGTAACAATATCAGATACCACAGATATTACCAAATAACGTTATCGGTCATCTCTAGTCAGGGCTATCTGCGAACATTTTCGAGCCACAGGGGTCAAATGTCTTCAGCTCTTAGGGCGAAACCACATTTGTTTGAGGAGAAAATTCTAAACATCGTGTTAGTGAATTTCGGCGTAACAAGGAAGTAAACAATTTACATTCTCAAAACAATTTTTTCAATCTTCTCGTCGACTACTTTCGATGCTAACGCCCGAATACGAAGAACATGCAAAATTAGATTAAGTGCTATTTTTCCAAGTATCGGATCTCAAGAAATTGCAAGTAGAACGAATTTTGAGTGGCAACAAAAATAAGACTTACATTCTTTATTGTTTTTCTGCTTGCAATAAAACTAAGGGTCCTGTATTTCTAATTTTGAAGCCAAAATTATTCTCAAACTCGAACTAGAACTTGCATGCTTCAATATAAAATATGTAGCTTCTTTAAGTACTTACATTTGTTTGAATGGTGATATTGTTTTTTCAATCATATATTTTAAGATCTTTCTTGAGGTGCATAAAGTAAGTTAAATTAACAACGACGGATTGTCGTTTTAGTTCCTGTGAATTTCTAATAACTGCAGGTTCGATTCCTGTCTAACCTGCGGTAACGCGATGTTGAGGATAAATTTATATTAATGTAACATAAAATTAGTCCTGTGTTTTTGAAGTCAACTATTTCCCTCGTCTTAATTTCTAGCAATCACAAACCCGCAGTTTTGAATTACAAATAGTTGCTCGATGGAAAAATTGTATGACAGCACCTGTCGGCGGTTTTTTCGTGTTTACCCGCGGCAAAACTTGACAGCTGACACCAGAAATTTTTTAATAAATAATTATGGTATCCTAGGATGCCAGAAAACGACATTAAACAATTTTTCTGATTTTATTGTCAATAAACTTTGTAATATTGTTTTTAAACAGTGCTAGTCAGCTTATGTAGTGAAAATGCATGTATAATAGGTAGTATGTTTTCTAAGCTATGTGTATGCAGAATAATCTGTTACTCATGAAATACTCTTGTCAAATACCATTTGGGCATCTAATTCTTTCCTGTTAAAAAAATCGAAAAAACAATGCAAGGTAATATTTTTTAACAAAAAAATCATGCAGGTGCAAAAATCCTCGTCTATGACTCGGACTTTTATTGCCACTCATGGTTTTTATTAAAATATTACCTACTTAGCAACGTGTTTATTTGATTTTTTTTTTCGGAAAAATTAGATGCCCTTATAATATTACTTCTCATAATCCCCCACGCTTGCCTGGTCTGCATCTAAAATTCCTATTTAATGTAGTAAACTGTTCAATCACAAAAATTATTTATCTGTCTTCAACTTTATGTTTTTGTGCTGAAGAAGATCACCTTTGTGATTGAAACGGTTGCTATGTTAAAGAAGAATTTGAACATAGAACAAACAGGTGTGGAAGGAACGAAAATCATTTCAGAAAGGTTTGGCTTTTAATGATCTGTGATGCAAGCAATGATGACGAGAATAATAGTAGCATCATCTAGTATGTAATTATGCAAAGCAGTCCGACCAAGATAGCGTAGCATGAAATCTTTGCATAAGGATATACAGTATGCATAAGACTTGCTACATGGGTTGTCAGCAACTCTCTAACAAGTTATGAGTTGTCTTTTGCCATAATTATCATCATGAAGGGCTAGTGAATAGTAAAATATTATTCCAAAGAATATTAAAATTCAAGATAGACTGCCATATTTTCTTTTAGCTCCTACAAAAAATTAAAAATATTTTTATAGATTTATAGGTATGTGTATAATCATTTTATTTTTGTTAAAATAAGTCGTGAGAATTTTTATGCCTCGTTTTTTATGCTTCCCGAAACAATTGGAAACTTTAGTCTTCAACATAGGACGGTTGTTTTTGGGTGTGACTCATCAAGTCAGCAGGTTAAATTTGGGATGATGAAACTTTTGCATTAAATAAAAGTAACTAGTTCAAGATTCCATTAAAAAGCAGTTATAGTTTTAGAAAGAAATGTCCCGTATTTGCGTAATATGCCTTGCAAAAGAAGAAGATTAATATTATATCCCATATGATTTTGGTGATAAGCTGCTGAGTGAATTGGTATAAGAAAACGTTCAACCTTGACAGCCCGCCATAAAATGCTTCAAAATGATGACCCTAAATTGCTTCAAACTTGTTTTTTTAATGGCAGCCAACTTTCCTTTGTTTCTTTTACACAAAAATGCAACAATTTCACCAATCCGGTGACTTGATCTGTCCCAAAAATGCATGGAGAGAGGGGAGGGGGCTCACGAGAAAAAGCACTTAACTTTTCGTACAGAGAATTGTATTAATCATTCAATGCGCTTTGTACGTACTGGCCTAACAAGAGTCGGCTCAATCTCCATATTTTGAGTGTTTACTAACGTTTCGTTTAAGGATGAGGATTTTTAAATTACACAAGTCAAATAAAATATTTGTTCATGAAAGTATTGAGTAAGGGTCTTGGAAACTGAAGTTCTAAGCAAAAAGCTGTAGCAGAAGCCGCATATATGGCGGTACCTTCAAATTCCGCATCATCATTACGATATGCCTCGCTTGTGCGTGACGCTCTAATTGGACAAGTACTACTGCTCTGCTCCTCACTTCCTGTCTCGTTTTGGTCGAGTGCCTGACCATTAGCAACTGCTTCTGATTCGTTTTCCTGTTTCAGCAACATGCACTGTGGCGTAGGTGTTTGCCCTCTTCTTAAAAGTTCGCTTAGAGGTACGATTATATGACGAGTTCCTTTAAAGCCTTCCGGGGTGCTACTGCGTACCTCCTATTTTTGTACAGAGAATATGATTAAAGTAAGTACATCAAAAAGCTTAATTTCATTTTGACAATTTTTTCATCAGATGTCCACTAAACCGTTCCACATTCTATGCAAAGAATAGGTATGCATGGAGTAATCTCAATGTAGAAGTTAAAACTATGTACGTAATTTGATAATATTAATAATAATAAAAAGGAAGGGTAGGTCTTGCTCATTTACGTATACATAGCGGTAACCAATGACACAAGCATTGAAAAAACTTTTGCATAGAAGATCAATAAATATATCGAACTTAGCTATGAATTAAAAGACCTATGGAGAGTGAACAGGGTTAAATTCATCTTAATATGGGAACTAAAAGGTGTAAGCGTTATGTAGTCACCATTGAAATTAGTAATAGGGGGGGGGGGGTCAAAACTAGTTAAAAAGTTCATATGACCCATGGTTCAAAAGTCAATAGATTTTTGTCTAAATGGCTTTATAGTTTGTAACTTTAAGTGTTTTATATCGACCTCAACCACCACAATCTACAATCAACAAATAAATGGCATTAAGTTTTTCTAAGTTAGGCCAGAATTTGTAGTCAGTAAGTTAATAAGTTTCATTAAATTAAATATTTAAAACACACCTGACAACAGCGCGTCGTCACTACTCTTATCGAGCCGGCAATCGATCGCAAACGGTAATAATTGTTACTTATTGGGCATCGAGCGTGTTGTTTTGTTTTTGTTCGCGTACGTCGTCTAGTTTATTTACAATGTTCTCGAATCAAGAGTTCGCCGACATGTTGTCAGTTTACGGTGAAGCTCGTCAGAATTCAAATCTTGCAGCTCAAATTCATCGCGACAGATTTCGACAACGGGTACACCCAGACAGGACGTTTGTGCAAGTGTACCAAAGACTTCGAGATACAGGAAGTGTTCAGCCCACTAATATTAGCACTCGTGAAAGTCAGGTTACTGTAGAGCACGAGGAGCAAATTTTAAATATCGTGGAAATCAATGCAGACATCAGCACTCGGGAATTAGGCCGCCGCGTAGTACTATCGGATACCATAGTCTATAGAATCCTACGGGAAAATTTGCTTTATCCCTACCATGTACAACGAGTGCAGGCCTTGTTACCAGAAGACGATCCTCGCAGACTAATATTCTGTCAGTGGTTTTTGCACAAAAACATTGAAAACCCGGATTTTTTTAAAAACATTCTAGCTATTAACGAATGTACTTTTACGCGAGACGAGATATTAAATTTCCATAATACTTACACGTGGGTCGTCATACCATTCATGAAGGTCATTTCCAACAACAATTTAAAATAAATATTTGGGCGGGTATTCTTGACGATCAGGTAATTGGCCCTTTAGAGTTACCCCCAAAGTTGTCAGGAGAAGGATACCCTAGCTTTCTAGCCAATAACCTTCCAGAACTTTTGGAACAGACTTTAGATAACATGCCATTACAACGGAGACAGAAATTGTGGTTTCTTCATGACGGGGCATCACCACACATTTTTAAAGGCGTCATTCAGTATTTGAATGAACATTATCCAAATCGCTGGATCGGTCGAAATGCCCCTGATCCTCGAAAATGGCCTGCAAGGTCTCCTGACCTCAATCCGATGGATTGCTGGTATTGGGGAGAACTTAAAGGGATGGTTTATGGGGCTGGTCCAATAACAACTGAAGCACAATTGGGTTCGTCGTAATGAAGGTTGTGTGGAAAATGGAGGACGACATTTTGAACAACTGCTTTGAATACAAAAAAAGTGCAGTGTGGGTTTTAAAAAAAAAAACAATGTATGTATCAAAATTGTGTTCCCTATTTATAAGTGGATTTTTTTAATACGTTCAATAAACTTTCACACACCAAATGAAGCGCTGAGACAGTTAGTGGTAAGTCCGTTTTTTTAATTGTTTGCATTTTACGAGTACATTATCAAATAATGAAATAATACCTAAGAGCCAAAAATAGCAAACTCCGTCTTTATTTACACTGCGTTCCGTCATAATTTGCGTCTGGCATTGCGGCGTTGTCAGATATTGTTTTACTTTAAAATCGATTTTCTCTAAAAAAAAGCCGTTTTGACCCACTTGTTATATGAAACGTTTTGCTTCTATTAACTCCCTCTATCACCCATTTAAATAATGACTATCATAACGTTTACACCCTGTATGTCACGAAAAATATTTGAATTCATTGAATAGCTAGAACTGGAACCTTGTATTTACCAACATAATGCAGAAAGTAGTATTACTGAACACATGCCGTACAGGTAGATTTATATACCCAGAATAAATACTATATTTCAGAAATGGTACCGTCTCTTTTTTTTAAGATGATATTCACTTGATATCCTCCAACCAAAGTAAACCAGGGTAAAGAAACTGAATTATAATAGTCATAATAATAATAATTCATTGGTGCTAAGTACATACGTCAAAGAAGAAAAGAATGGTTGAAAATCATTAAAGTGTAAATATATAAATAAAAAACTATCATGAAAACAAGTAATAGATAACAAATAATAGGAATGAAATAAAATGTAGTGCGATCTGTGTATTAAAAGTCATTATTTAGAAATATTTGTGAAACTAATCAGGTATGTAAAAAGTTTGTACTTCATTTCATTCTTGAAGGCACGATTACCAAGCTGTTTAATACATAACAGTGAGAACTTAATGCCACAGTAGTTGGGCCCGAACCTTGATTTCTGTAGCCTCAATTGTGGCAAAAACCCATTATTTAAGTTTCGTGTGTTGTATTGATGTATTGTGCCATGGGTAATATACTTGTCTTGGTTCTTTAATTCAGTTAAACACAGTAGAATGTATGCCATTTTTTTTATTTTGTTTTACTTTAAAAGTGATTCTACGAGGGTCTGTATATTTTAAGCCAAACATATACCTTACACATGTATTCCAAAGACTTCAGTAGTAGTAGCGTATGAAGAGAACACTTTAGTGATAGTAATCATTTTTGTAAGAGAGTGACAAACTGAATATTTTCTTTATCGTTACGTCTTTAGCAAACTGAATTGTTTTGTCTTGTGATGTTTGCAGCATCTTGATTGATTGACGCGCTCACCTGACCTCACTGACTGACTGACTGACCATTTGTTTTTTTTCATAGTTACGCTATTTGAGCCTATGTTGGTTACGCGTTATCAACGACCAAAGTGTAAACAATTCTTGAGAACGCTGTCTGATACCTAATGAATCATATCGGTGCATGAGTTGGCAGAAATGTTTGATAGATAATATTCAGTTTCGGCCATTCATCAATCATCAATTGAGCGGTTCCGTAAGACCCTTGATGTCATAGTTACTTGGGGTATTTGTTAATATGTCCTAGTCACTCAGACGAGACCAGAACAAAAAATACAGAACATAAGGGAATATGTTCAGCATAAACTAGACCCTCTGAGAAAACAGTCAGACAAACAGGTCCATAGAATTAGTTCATACACATTCGTTTCTTGACCTACCCGCAGTTCACAAAGAATAGAAAACACTATCCTGTTGCGCGGTAGAAACACGTGTGATTCCATACAAGAACACATTTTCAGGGCTAATGTACAGAGAAATCTATGATGTGTGAAATATGTCTACGTATAATGGATGCGCAGAATTACCAATGTTTGGAGCGTAAACATGTACCAGCATCAAAAAATTGAGATAAGCTCTCCCCACCCCCTTACAACCCCCACCTACATGATTTTTACCACTATTTTTTTTTTGAAAAACAACGGTGTTTGAGCATTACGTACCTTTTCCGTTTTAGGCCTTTTTCTCTAACGTCATTTTCAAAGGTACAAACCATTTGCGTTCTTGGCATAGAAGTAACATTGTTTGAAAACTTCATCGAAATCCGAGCCTTACTTTTCAAATTATAGGCGGTTATAAGACCGACCGACAGACAGACAGACCAACGGAATTGAGTGTTATGGTTTTTCGTGATGTACATGTTAAATAACATCCAAGAAATATACTACCTCTCTTTCGAAAATTTTCGCGATGACAATACTTCCTCGCCAGTAGGCGCGGATAGTAAAATGGCGTCCAGTAAGTTGATTCTGCAATTTCCACGCAAAATATTGTATAAATGGAAGTTAACTACGAGCATGTACAACAAAGGAATCCAATGCATCAAGTCAGTCAAATGCCATTGGTTTCCTTCCCCAGGCCATGGTTCCCCTCAAAATCTGGATGCCTCCAAAAGTTTGTAAATTCAGTATAGTCTTGTGTAACAAATTCAAGATTTTTAAAAACTGCCCCAACCCCCTGAGAACACTTGCTACCCCCTATTTGTTCAACAATTTTTGGTGCTGAAACGCCATCATATTATACAGGCTAAATATACGGAGTAATTACGCTTGAACTATGTTTAGTAGGTGTATAGAATTCCGGTGTCAGAAGCGTATAAATATCCTTCCGCCAAGAAATTGAGACCCACATCTCAAAAATGAGATATGTCAAAGAGCGGCGCACCCACTGCGTCAATTTTGAAAAACAAGCTTCTTCATCCCCGATATAGTAATAACATTGTGTATTTCAACAAAGGAGCTTATTTTCAACACTTTTCGCGATTACAATATGCAATTGCAATGTGATGCGATTCTTAATTTTCGAATGCAGTTTTAAACAATTTGCACTAAGATGAAGACCGGTATAAGACAACACCTGTAAGGGACATTCAACGATGCTCATCATACTGGGCTATAACCATCTGCAAAAGCGACTATTTAACTGAGATTTAGAAACGAAGATAAACAGAGCGCTTCGAGAGACTCTTAAAAAAGTCAAGGGTCAAGAATTAGAAAATGAAGTCCAAAGTCAACAAACCCTTACTTGGAACTTTCTCTTGTGTACCTTACGTTACGTTTTTGTGCACAATCGCTGTTGTAATTGAAACAATATAAAAGGCGACTGTTTTTTGAACGAATGCCTTCCAGCATACCTCTAAGAGCTGTTTAAGGGCCACTGTT